AATGGAATCACCATTTGACCCAGGTATCCCTCTCCTCGGTCTATACCCAAAGGACTTAAAAACAGCATATTACAGGGACACAGCCACATCAATGTTTATAGCAGCACAATTCACAATAGCTAAATTGTGGAACCAACCTAGATGCCCTTCAGTAGATGAATGAATTAAAAAAATGTGGCTTTTATACACAATGGAATATTACTCAGCAATAAAAGAAAATAAAATCTTGGCATTCGCAGGTAAATGGATGGAGTTGGAGGAGATAATGCTAAGTGAAGTTAGCCAGTCCCAAAAAACCAAATGCTGAATATTTTCTCTGATACGAGGAGGCTGATTCATAGTGGGGTGGGAGCAGGGAGCATGGGAGGAATAGATGAACTCTAGATAGGGCAGAAGGGAGGGAAGGAAAGGGAAGGGGTATGGGGTTAGAAATGATGGTGGAATGTGATGGTCATCATTATCCAAAGTACATGTATGAAGACATGAATTGATGTGAATATACTTTGTATACAACCAGAGAAATGAAAAATTGTGCTCTATATGTGTAATATGAATTGTAATACATTCCACTGTCATATATAAATTTTTAAAAATTAATTTAAAAAATTTCAAGCCCCATAGCAGATGAAATCCCCAGGCTACCAAAGAGTATCTTAAAACTCAGACCTCCCCTCCAATCAATCTCTCCCTCTCCTGGGCTGAGATTCATTGAATGTTTTTTTTTTTTTTTTTTTTTAATCCATTCTTGGGAGAAGGTGCATACTCCTTCATACTTCTACCAAACTACATGCCAAAATGTTGATGCTGGGGACAGATAATGTCCATAGCCATTTTCTTCTGTCTTGAGCTCTCTTATCCCAAATACTCTTGTGGCTAAATCCCTCACTTTACTAAGGTTTTAGCTCAAATTTCTTCTCTTCAGAGAGGCCTCCTCACTACCAAATCTGAAAAAGACCACCACCCTCAAGCTTCTATAAATCTGCCCAAAACATAATCTCTTATGTCTGTATCACATATAGATATATCTATAAAGAATAATATCCAAAGGCAAAGCCAGACCTTCTCCTTTGGGTATGTACATTAGTGAGAAGCTGAATCTTCATAGCAGAGGGAATAAGTCAGTTTTTTAATATTTTCTAAATAAGAAAGTATAGACACATAGTTTATAAAGTTTTATCTGTATTTTATATTTTGCAGTGCTAGAGACTGAGTCCAAGGGCTAAATAATTTGTGCATACTGGCCAAGTACTCTATCATTGAGCTACATCCCCAGACTCTAGAAGAGACATAGATACATGATGAAGGAGAAAAGTTTTCAATTAGTAGAGTTGTTCTGCAAAACAACCTAGCAATACACATCGGAAGCCTTTAAAATATTTAAGTTGTTTGATCAATGATTCTAATTCTAGAATTTGTCCTATAGAAATACTCAAGAGATGTTGATAAGATGTTCATAGCAGTATTACAACAATTAAAAGGATGTTATACAGCCATTAAAAATTCTTTAAAGAAACAGCCTAAATATCTTTTGATTGGTGGATGGATAAACTAACTTCAGTATATACATGCAATAGAATAGTATTCAGCCTTAATAAGGAATGATATTCTGAAACATACTACAACAGCACTCAGCCTCAAAGGCATTGTGCTAAATGAAGTAAGCCAGACATAAAAGAACAAATACTATATGATTCCATTTATATAGGGTATTTAGGATTAGTCAAAATCATAGAGAGAAAAAGTAGAAGTGGTGGTTGCCAGAGATTGTGGTAAGTGAGGAGGCAGAGAATAGGAAGTTAGTGTTTAATGAGTATGGAATTTAATTTTGGGAGGATGAAGAAATTCTGGAGATGGATGATGGTGTTAGTTGTACAACAGTATAAACATACTTAATGCCACAGAAATGCACACTTAGAAATGGTAAATTTTGTTATATATTACATTCCGCTGTATAAGTGTGTGTGTGTGTGTATATATGTGTGTGTGTATGTGTGTATATATATATATAAAATGGGAGCTAAAGACTGGACATGGTAGCATATGCCTATAATCCTGGCAACTTGGGACGCCAAGGCAGGAGGATTGCAAGTTGGAGACCAGCCTTAGTAATTTAGCAAGGCCCTAAGTAACTTAGTGAGACCCTGTCTCAAAATAAAAAATGAAAAGGGCTGGGGATATGGCTCAGTAAAATAAGTGCCCCAGAGTTCAATCTCCGTTACAAAAAAAGAAAGAAAGAAAGAAAGAGAGAGAGAAAGAAAGGTAAAGAAAACAATTGGAGCAATAGGAAAATGATTAATATGGAAGAAATATATAATATGGTTCATATTTTCTGCAAAAAATCATTGTGAGCTCATGCATAGAATAAAAACACTGGAAAGAAATTCCAAAACATAAAATGTTAATAGACATTATCTCTAGGTGAGAATATAAGTAATTTCCTCTTTCATATTTTTTAATTTCCAAATGCTCTGAGTAAACATGCAGTGTTTTTATAACTAAGATATAAAAGAAAGTTTAAAAGGCCAGTCTCTACACATCTATTCTCTTATTCTGAATTATTGTTTTAGTAATAACACTTATTACTACCTAAAAGTTTATTTCATATCTATTTCCTTGCCATAGTTCATTTTCCCAGCCAGAATGTAAATTTCATGAGAGCAGACATTTTCTTACTCACTGCTGGATCCTTAGTTCGTGAACAGTTTCAGGCACTTAATGGACATACTATAAATACTTTAATAAATGAGAATGAGTCAATGAATGAATGGATGAATGAACTGAGAAAAGTCACTGTCAGTGCCTTAGTTCATTCCTGATGCTATAACAAACTACATTAGAGTGGATAATTGGTAAATAATAAGAATTAATTTCTTGCAGTCTGAAAGCTGGGAAGTTCAAGATCAAGGCACCAGCAGAATCAGTGTCTGGCTTCTGCTTCATACGTGGGAGCCTCTTATTGCATCTCCACAAGGCAGAAGGGGCAAACAGCTCCATTTTACTTCTTTTATAAAAGCACTAATCTCAATCACCAGGGATCTGCCTTTAATCACCTAGTAAAGACCTCCTATCTTAATATGATCACACTAGCAATTAAGTTTCAATGTAAGAATTTTTGGAAAAGGTACACCTAGACCATAGCACTCAGGTCCAGAAAGTGGACATTCCTTTGTCCTGTGCCCCTATCCCAGACACCTGGGAGATCAATCACAGGAAGGTTTTTTCTCATATTAAGGATCATCAAAATGATATAAAGCTTAAAACATTTCCAAAATAGGGTTAACAGTGTGGAAAGTAGTCCAGACCCCACATCACTTGAAGGATCATTGAAGGGGCTAAGAATGCAAAAGGGAAGACATAGAGAAGAAAGTGGTAGCTATCTCCAAATACTGCAAGTAGAATCAAGAGGAACTTGCACTGATTTGATAAATATTTTCACTAAAGCTCTTCCATGCTCTAGGGATGGGGTAGGTATCAAGTGTACAAACAAGCAAGCAAAAATCCAGGATTTTACTTCATTTCTTTGACTCTAGATCAAATGCCAAGGATTGGTTAGAAGTTTGCAAAGACATATTTCAATGCTCATAAGGCAGAATATCAAATCAGCATTTCTTAAAGTCCATCCCATGGAACCCTAGGGATACAAGGATTGTTTATTTATATTTTTTTCTTAAATTTTTTAGTTGTAGATGGACACAATACCTTTATTTTATTTATTTTTATAATTGAACCCAGTGCCTCACATGTTCTAGGCGAGTGAGTGCTCTACCACTAAGCCATAACCCCAGTCCCTTTTTATTTATATTATGTGGAAAAAAAAAGATTCTTGAGCCAAATAAGTTTAGAAATATTTGAGGTAATGTTCTTTTTTGGGAAGTGGGGTACTGGGGATTGAACTCAGAGGCACTCGACCACTGAACCACATACCCAGCCCTAATTTGTATTTTATTTAGAGACAGGATCTCACTGAGTTGCTTAGTGCCTTGCTTTTGATGAGGCTGGCTTTGAACTCAAGATCCTCCTGCCTCAGCTTCCCAAGCTGCTGGGCTTACAGATATGAGCCACCATGCCCGGCATAAAGTTAATTTTGCACAGGACCTCTCAGAGTTCTTAATATATCATTGTACATTGTGATTCTCCTAAAAAGCAATAAGGTTCTTTCTCAAATTTTTTGATCACAGGATCCTTTTCTAGGCCTAGAATTCCATGGAATGATCATTAGAACAAGTTCCTCTCTTTGCAACAAGAACCTTCACCTTCAGAACAGGTAGCACCCACAGATCCAGTTGGGCACACCCCTGAGACACAGCACCATCTACCACAGATGCACAAGTCTCCATTCTAAACCACTGTCAATCCTAGTCCTCTCACCTCATCTCTCTCATCTCACAGTGTTCCCAGTTACAAGTTTCACCCCCACATATTCTCCTTTACTTCCTTGCTTTGAACTTGGCTATAATGAACCATGCCTTGTATTTCAGTCTTTTACTTGAGCTCTACATAACAAAGATTGATTTCTTCCCATAAGCTATCTGGGGCCACTTGGATGGCTCCCCCCCAGGTTCAACTCTTTCATCTAGCTCAGACTGACTTTCATGTCAGGGATGGCATAAATGGAGACAGCTTGGGATTTTTTTATATTAAAAGTTCTTCCCTACTCTTATTTTTAGCTACCTCTTTGACAGGTCTGAGGCTCTGTAATGTCCTATTTCCAGACACAATTTTAAGTACTTTGGTACCTGGGAAACCAGCTATTTCTGTAGACTGAATCATCTTACTAGTCCTCATATGGAATACAGATGCTCTGCCACACAGTTGGGTAATTTTCACATGATGAGATAAAGCCACTTGAGATGCAATGTCACTGGGGTATGTTCTACCTTCTAGCCATATGGATAAAAACCCATAATGACTTTGAAAGCTTGCATGAAATTCCTGCAGGAGAAATTGTTGTGATGTTAAACTATAGATGTTAAACCTCCCCATAATTTTTAATCTCTTACCTTGTAACTTGGGTTCTCATTCCAAAATCCAGTGACCTCATTGACTGCAGCACTTCAACACAGCCCATGTACTAGAATAAGAAAAAAAATAAGAAGAAGTAGGACAAAAATACCACAAAGCTGTGTCTTAGCTAAATACTGACTTCCTGGGAAGCACCTTAAATCAGCTCCTGATGTCAAGTTACATATGCACACTCCATCTGCCATTGATCTATCTGATCATTAATGGACACATGCCTTACACTTCGGTTCAGTTCAAAACATTAGCAAAATGCAAACAGTTGATACCAGGAATGCAGGTAAAAGAGATGAATGTGAGTTTAGTGGTCAAGAGTGTGGGCTCTGGGGCCAGATGGGGTGAATTTTCATCCTGTCTCTGCCACTTCTTCATTAGGGAATCACAACCAATTACTTAACTTTTCTGCATCACAGTTTTGTCGTCGGTAAAATGGAAATACAATTGTTGTAAAAGCTGAAATATTTCACACATGTAAAGCTCCTAGATGCCTACTATGCATAATTTCTTGAACATTACAGGAAGCAAAAAAATGTGAGACAAATAATATAGGAATGTCCAATCTTCAAAGAAGCTCTAACTAGCATAAATATACACATAACACAGAAATTAGTAACATAAGACAATTTTATCATCTTTTGCAAGACAACTGAAATAATAAAGCAGCTCAAGGAAAAAAAAACTCATGTCCCATACCAATGATTAGTAAGTTTAACTTGAATGTGGAACATTGGAAAAGGAATTGTGACATATGAAGCTAAAAGACAGTGTGTATTTAATGTGGCAGCAGTGGGGAACCATGTCTTGCTGCTGGTAACAGCCTGATGCAATCTGGGTTTGAGGAGGCTGAAGCCTATAGCAGTGTGGAGGTGGGTGGGTTAATAGTGAGGGAATAAGTTAGGATGTTCCTGTGGGAAAATGGAGGTACTGACAACCCACATGGAGGAAGGATGGTCGCAATAGGGAGGAGGAGACCCATTCAAGTGACATCACGGAAATAGATGTTACAGGGTTCGGTAGTTGATTTGACATAGAGAATAAGAGAGAAGGATGAGTCAAGAATGACTCAGACTTTTTCAGTCAGGAGAGCAGAGGGAACAGTAATACCATCAACAGAAACAGGAAAGCCAGGAAGGGGACGATGATGAATTCATTTGGGACCCGTTGACTGTAAGACACTGGTGGGATAGCCAGGAAATAACAAGTTGGCAGTTTGAAAATTGAATCCTGGATCCTGTGGAGAAAAGAAGCCTAGAAATACAGGCTTAGTCTTCTATGTAGCTTTGCCAGGTGAGGCCGTGGGAGGAAATCCTCTTAGCAGAGCCTTGGTTGACTAGGGAGAGTGTTTCTCTGAGAAGTGATTTGGAAATGTTATAAGAGCCAAGCAGTCTGATTGAAAGTGATCTGTCAGCTCCTTGGAAATGATATGTTTCCTGTTTAGCTTTCCTTTGGAAGCCTTCCAGCTTCCCTCTGCTTGGATATGGCAAAAGCACTGTGGAATGATGGCAGAAGCTGGGGGTGGGGGAGGTGTTTCTCTCCAAAGAGTTCATGTAGTATTCTGAGCAGATTTTCTAGATTTGCATCCTAAGACCAGCTCAGTGCACAAGTGTTGCACTGAGAACACACTGGCTGGAATGTTCTCAGCCAGACCCCTTTTAATCATGCCCCTCTTGGAGTCTAACATCAACATGAGAAACATTTTGTTCTGCCCAATCACACTTACCTTCCCAAGGCTTGGGTACCACGTGGAAGTAAGTGAGGTCTAGAGATTTATATTCAATGAACCATAAGGCTTATTAGGAAAGGAAAGCTAAATTTAGAAATGTCCATTTCAGAACAAGGGTTCAAGTTCCACATCAAGGTAAATCAAAAAGATTATCTATGTGTCCTCATTGGTTGCTTTGTTTTCTTTTGCTTTTCAGTACCCTCTTCTGATCCACAACCCAACTCAGCCCCTGCTGCCCTGTCTCCTGCAGTACTGGTCCTGGAAAGAATACACTCCCCATGAAATTTGGGGAGTACTTACAGACTACACCTCTAATTCCCCCAGAATACCTTGTTGGTGCAGAAGTATATGCCATCTTTTCCTGCAGCTGTAAATCATGAAGGTCGAGCAAGGCTTATCAGTGTACACTTTTTGAAAAGGTGACCAAGCACCTGCATTTTCCACTCTCTGTCACAATGATTTTTCAAAAATCATACCAGATCATGAGCCTCCACTGCTTAACACCCCTAATATCTATGAAAACAAACCCACTGTCAGGCATGGTGGTACATGCCTGTAATCCCAGCTCCTCAGGAGGCTGAGGCAGGACGATCACAAGTTCTTAGCAACTTGGCAAGGCCTGGAAGCAACTTAGGAAGACTCTGTCACAAATAAATAAATAAATAAACAAACAAATAAATAAATAAATAAGATAATAAATAAATAAATAGGGCTGGGGACTCAGCTCAGTGGTAAAGTGTTCCTGGGTTCAATCCCCAGTACAAAATAAACAAAATCCCCTCATTACTATAGCCCCTAGACCTTGTGTTTCCTGGCCCTACTCATCCTTCCAACTCCATCATTGTCCCTCTCTCTCTACACACTTTGCTGCCACACTGGCTCCTTCCTTTCCCTCAGATCCACTCCACTCTTCCCAAAGGCAGGGCCTTGACCCCTCTGCTCTCTCAAAACCTTCCCCTTTGCTCTGCAGGTCTGAGTCTTCTTCATCCTTCAGGTTTCAATTTAAATGACACTATTTTATAGGTTCCCTCCTGCCACTCTTTTCCATAGCTTTATTTGTGACCTTTATGTTATTGAAGGATAATTGAATTTATTTGTAATTGCTTATTCATTTCTTGGACTTCAAGCATCCTAAAAGGAAGGACCATAACCACTGCCATAATCCTAGCACCTTGGACAGTGCTAGGCACCCAGTGGGTATCCATAACACTGGCTGAAAGAACCCAGAAAGCATCTAGTGTTCAACTCTACTGAACCTTACAATGAGTAAAGGCGGTAAAGAAGCTGAGTGGGATGAAGTTCTCTCCATCTGGGGAAATGAACAAGGAGAACAGGAATGGTGAAGTCTTCCGAGTATAGTCCATTGCTGTGAAGATGCAGGGAGGTAGGGTTCATGAAAATAACCTGTCCACTTCTTTGTTTAGATACTTGATAAATGCGTAAACAGAGTGACTGAATATCAAGGCCTGAGGGAGTAGAAGTTCAATATGTTAGGTACAAACTAGAGATGACAATAATTTTCATTTCATTTATTAAATGCAGATCTGCATAAGATCTTAAGAACAGATCTGTGTTCTTAAGAAACCTGACCTCATAAAGACAGGCTAACCATGGAAAGAGATGACTTCTGTTTTTATGAGGTGAGTCACTGTTGTTAACTTCATTTAATATAAGAAGAAATTAAAGCCTATTCAAGGGAAGGGCCTGGCTCAGTTTCATTTATTCACTGAAACTGAATTAGGGTTTATTCTAGGGACAACTGCCCATTGCTGGGACCCAGTATAACAGGAGTGAAAAGAAAAGAGGTTGTCCAGTGGCTCCCACTTTCCTCCTTTGGTCGACCCCAGTAACACAGTGACAAGACCGAGGGCCACAATGTGATAGCAGTTGTGAGGTTGTGAGTTCAGGCTGCTCTGGGGACTGCAGGAGCGGCACAGGAGACAGAAAACATTCCCTAATACCTGATCTTGCGGCAAGGAAAGGACACGACCTTTACATAGAGGTTGTAGGGTTGGTGAGAAAGAGGCAGAGCTTTGGCAGTGCAAAGGCAACTTCCCATTCAGCACCTAGAAGGTGGCTTACCTAACTCCCAGCTCACTCCCTCTCTGCACACCACAATAATAATATTTTTGTACTTTCTGAGTATCAATCATTTGCTCCCAGAGAGAAGTGAACAGTCAATTTATGGTTGTGTATATCTGGGGCAATCCATTCCAATTGTGAAATTACTGGGATTTTCAGAGAAAAGGAGTGATAACTAACTTATGAAAACATCTCATCTGACTCGCAGAGAATGGTGACTTCAAGGGTATTACCTATGGAAAAAGATACACCCCAAATCCTCAGAAAGAATGTCCGCAGTCTCTACAATAAACTGTTAAGAGTGGCTGCCTCTGGGCTGGGAAGAGGCAGCTTTTCATTTTTTTCTTCAACTTTTGCACGGATATGTTTTAAAAAATAAGTATGTAGTATTATTTTTTAGAGTTAAAATGAAATAAACAAGCAAACTTACCACCTCACCTTAAACCCTGTTTAAATCCCGTTTCCCCCACATTTTTACAGGTATGTTATAATTGTACATACTGATGGGATTTGTTGTTACATATTTGTAAGTGAACACAATATATAATCTAACAATATAGTTTGTTGAATCCTTTTTTATTAATGTCATGTTCTCTTCCTAAGAATGTACCTTCCCCATTCTCAAAGTATGAGAGAATATTATGCAGGAGAAGTTCAAGGTCTAGGCCATGCACTTTTAAATAAGAGTAATCAGTTAAGGAAGAATGACAGCTATGAAACAATTAAATACTGAATAACAGTACATAATCAAATATGATATAATGAAGGTCTGACCATCATGCAGTAAATGCTCAACAATGGTAGAGGCCGCTGAGTTGGGAAGAATATACTAGGGGATTTTCAGCTTCTTTAAATAACTTCTTGTCTTTTTTTTTTTTTTTAAAGGAAGGCCAATAAGGAAGGACATTCCTACATAACCTTGAGACATTGTCTCTATTTCTTTACTTTCCATTCATTCCTCAACTCACCATAGGTAAGTTTTTGGCTTTAACACCCCTGAAACCTCCTGAGCAAACCAACTACTTCCTCCTGGTTCATTCTAGTGAAGTGTGGATCTCCACCTACTCTTATTTTCCCTCAGAACCGCTCCCCTTCTTTGGCTTTTATGAGAACATTTTCTGTGATTTATCGTCTTTCCTTTCTGCCTACTCCTTCTCAGTCTCCTTTGCAACTTACCCTTCGCCTCATCTTTTCTTTAAACAATGTTTCCTTCTCTTCTCAGCCTCTACCAGTAGTTCTCAACCCTG